ACTTATATTCACAGAATTTATTGAAACGAATTACTATAGTTGAATAATTATTCAATAAATATTCATTCTATGGATTGTTTCATTATCAAATTAAATATTTAAGTAGTCTATCATATTTCTTCCCCTATCAACAAAAAGATATATATTTTTATATATGTATTACCTCATTATTTTTTCATACAAAGATTAAACGTAAACAATCGACTTCCCGCCCACCCCCTCCCCCTCCTCATAAAATAAATATTATTTTATTAGGAATTATTTATTTAGTTTAATCAATCATTCATTCATGAAAATTCATATATGATTTGATTCCAATGAATAAGTTGCATAATTTTATTTTGTTTTTTATAACAAGAAAAAAAATAATAGAGAATATTACTAAATGGATCATCCATCATTTCAGTTGGAAACAACAAACAAACAACAAAGAAAACAAATATTCATTTCATTTTTTTTCTCCTTTTTTCCCTCTTTTTTTCGGTTTAAATTATCAAATAAACAATCAATCAATTATTCAATTTAATTTTAAATTAATTACTTTTCTTTTATAAAATTTATTTTTATTTTGATAAATTGTTTTCAAGAACAGAAAAAAAAGATCTCTGGCATTATTAAAACTAATTTCAAAATTGAATAATTCAATGAAATCTTTATGCATAAATATAAAATACAAATTTATATTGGGACAGTGTGGTGTATGCTATTGATGTCGACAGATATAAATAGTATGTATCATCAATAGAAAGTGAAATGATCTAGAGGTAGAAGATTAAGAACATTGAATAAACGAGAACAGGGACAAAGAATGGTTGGTATGGAAACGAAGGAATAATCAATATAATTGTGACAATTGATTGACATTTTGCAAATGAAGTATTTACTGTATTGTTCTCAGATTTGACTAAGAGATTTTGTAACTTTATGTTCAAATACATTTGGTTGTTCTTACCTATGTTCTCGTTCACTACACTTAAACACTGCACATAACTCCAATATACGCATATTAGATCGGAGTTTTTTTGTATATAGTTAATAAAAACATGAATCAATGTCAATCAAATCACAATAATTACTACGTGATTTCAAACATTCTTTTTCTTGGTACCACTTTAAATATATGAATCCAAATACCAAATTTTCTTGATATATGTATTCAATATGATCAGATATAGAATATAGTGCTAGTCAAAATCTAGTGGGTCGTACATCCACTTAATTCTTCTTAGTATGTGTGAAGAAGTTAGATATTTTGTATTCGAACAGTTGATTTATTGAATACTTCAGTTATTGGATATGAGTTTCATTATGACCATAAAAAGTGGAATGTAAATACATCGTTTTGACAAGTCAGTCGTAAATGAAAAAAACGCAAGTTCAAACTTTTACTATCACCTACTATCAAAAGTATGATCTCAAAGAGTAACATTTTAAGCTTACTATACTATAGTTTATTTTGTATAAATTCCAATCTATTATTGTTTGGTCTAATTAATTAACTTATCGTTTCCTGATTAGCTTATTCCATTTAGTAATGCATTGCTCCATTCCAGAAAAATAGGTAACGTATAATTTTGTGAATTTCGCTAATAGTATTTTGTTTCCTATCGGTAAATTTTTTAGGACTGAATCAAATAAAACTATTATTTTCTCAGTATACAAGGTAGTTAATAATTCAAAAAGATCCGTCGGTTCCCATTATTATCCTTTAAGCATTATCCCAACTATCAACTAGTTAGACTGTTTCAACTTTTCTTTAGACCTTCACAATGCAATAAAATTTACAGTTCATTATATAACTTAACCTGTGAAAACATCGTTCTTTATATTGTTCTTAATTAAAGATCTCAGTTTTTAACATAATTCCATTCAACAGTGATATGTCTACATTTCGCAATGTAGAATCTAAATAAGCTTGATCAACGTTTTTTTTTTCAATAATGTGCTGTTTATTTTCCAAGTGTACATTTTTCTCTTCACAAGTTATTCAAATAAAATACGAATGCACTACTATTCCAAAATGAAAGCAAACTTGTGAACAAAGACAGTCGAAATGTTTTCTTTAGTCCTTGACTAAAATCAACAGTACACACATATCCATTGTTTATATCTATAATTACATTGATATATAAAAAAATTTTTCTCACAATTTATTATGTAATTATCCTATGCATCCTTTCATTCATCGGACATCATTAATATACTTTAATGATATGATCTATGGTACAAGTTTTGAATGGTTTGTTCGATATTAAATAACTTCATTCCATTAGTGCATTCCATGTTGCCTAGATCACCATTATTCTATTTCATCAATAATATGTGTAAGGTAGTTATCACCAGTAATGATCACATGATTTGGGTCAGTTGGACATTACCTCCTTATTAACTACTTAAGACAATACTTTATTTTAAGAAATTTTCTATTGTTGTTACGATTTCAGTTTCTTCAGATAAGAAAAGTTTTCAAGTCAATTGTTAACAGTAAAATTGTAGAACCTGAAGAGAATTTATCGAAAAGAATATTCTTCGTTCAAATACTAGTCTACTGATATGACGGGAATCCTTAAACGAATAATCGTTGACCTATACAAGCATGATGAACTTGAGAATTACTTTACAAATGTATTTAACATTGAACATTTCTACTTTCTCCTAGAATACTTAATCGAGATGTTACGTTCATTCTAACAACGATGATTTTGATCAGAGAGGGGATTTTTTGATATTACAGTAATTTAACGGTTGAATTCATCAGTCACTTGTAGCTAGATCAACATGGAAAAACCTGGGGGAACAGAACAGCCGTTTCGTCCTATCTCGGGACTCCTCATCAGTGCGCATCCATTATCCCGCTCCGCGAGAGTCAAACCCAGGTCCTATCAATCTCTAGCACGAACGCTTAACCTCTAGACCACTGAGACGGCATCCAACGATGTTAATATATAACTTCAACTAATCCACCAAATAGAGTGAAACATTCACTATTGTCATCAGTGAGTTACTATCTTACAACAGACTAGGTTGAACTCCACTGGTCACTGCTTCAATAAATCATTAGTTTGAAAATTATTGATTACTGAATGAATATACTCATTTCATTAATAATCCACAATAATCTGAAGGAGTAAATGAATTTTCTTTTTCATGAGTATATGATCAGTTTGAAGATTTTCATATTCTATTTTATCTATACAGTCTTCAATTGTAATTTTTTCTTCTAAGCACATGTGTTGATAATTAAACGTATATTAATAATTACTTATCAGTAATAACCTTATGTTCTAGTATACAGAGAAATTTACATTCCTTATTCTATTAGTTTAACATGTTCTTAAAATTACATTTTAACTATTATATCGAAATCAGATCGGTAAAAAGTAGCACATTCTACTTATTTTTCTTAATATTATACGAATCACAAAGTAATTTGAATAGTCCATATTTATTTGTTTTGATGTAATACATGTTACGTAATTGGTAATGGTAAATAAGTGTTTAGACAAACCTGCCTTCGGTACAATTTCATCTATTTATTTTTGAATAATGAAGATCAACTCGCGTTTATCAGTCAACTGACGTTTGGAGATGTTATTGTTATTTCAACTTAACTATTATTTAAATTGTACAATTGAAGATTTAAGATGATTCTTTATTTTGTATAATTCGATATTTTTAGTGAACTTTCCCAATGTTTAATTTGTGCTTTACTATCAAAAAGATTCTTGCATCAAAATTTTGTGGATTTTTATATTATGTGTTGGTATACTCTTGAGGGTCTGAAAATATGACAGATTGATTATTTAATGATTTGTACTTTGCTGTGTCGTTTGCAGTTGATGTACATTCATAAAGGCTATAATCCTGAAAATATGATTGATTCAGGTATCATCAAGTTTCAAACTGATAAATGATGATAATACATAAATACGATACGTTCCCATTCATTTTAGAAGTCACCTCTAGTTTCAAAGGTTGTGAATTATGAAATGTATTCTTTAGTCTTTTGGTGGAGTTTTGTTCTCTGAGCTGGATGGTTTGGTCGGGGAGCTTTCATCGTTCTTCTGAACGACATCATCAGCACAAACTTCAAATACAAGTGCTGATGATGTCGTTCAGAAGAACGATGAAAGCTCCCCGACCAAACCATCCAGCTCAGAGAACAAAACTCCACCAAAATCATCCACCTGAGCTACAAATCTCCACCATTCTTTAGTCTATATGATGTTTATGATATCTATTCAGTTCAAGAACTTCACGCTAGTTTCTTGGATTATTATGATAAAATTGAAAAAATTAAATTTCAGAAAACAATATTCAAATTTTGTAGGACTAATACCATATCCGATATTCTTTCAATAAGGTGATTTATTAAAAGATGCAGTGGTTTATTTACATTCACTTTTTATTCACTATTCAACCTTAAATTACAATATTATTTTGTATTTTTTATTCTGCAAATTTATTTTCTCTGATGGAATCATAGTCTCTGTCACTTGTCTTTTTTATTATCAGTTATATTATGATAATTTTAATTCATCTACTTACTATTCACTTTGTCAATCCTTTCACTCTATGATAACGTGGTGTAGTAATTGAGAGGATGCTTATAATCTTGCCGTATTTTACTCATCATAACTGACTGACTTTGGTCTTATCATCAGGGAATTTATGATTTAACGTTTTATTTCATTGTAACTTACAAGAATATTATATTCTTGTACTTTATTAGATACTCTCCTCACGTAGGAAAGTGTGTAACTTTTGATAGATGCTTAACTTATCTATAAGCACCACTTTTCTGAGTTGTCCATCACATGTTTACCCAATAGTTCATTTTACGGGTAGAATTACTACCCAGCTTAGGCTTATATACTTAATGCTTAATAACTCACATCAATTTAATTTACTTTAAGCATTCACTCGTCTTATATTTGTAAGTAGGACGAATTCCTTATAAGTTGCACTCCTACAATATATTTTTTAAAATAAAAAAACACTTTTATATTCATACTACTTAATTTAGAAAGTAGTGTTTCATAAATAAGAAAATTGGTAAAGGTCTTTGGTACAAGTTACTACACAGGTAGAACATAGTTTTTAAATTTTGTGGAATTGTATTGACATTTTTATCCTTTATATGTTTTATATGTCAGCAGTAAAAGAGCTGGTACAGGTTTCGTGGATTACTGACAGCAGTTTATTTTAACTTAACACATATTGAAGAGGAAGAATAAAAATTAGGCAAACTAGAGTTCAAGTTCATACAGATAAAACATAAAAGAATGTCATGTGTGCTAATTTGTTATTGATTTGATGGTATTCATGGCCTTTTTCTAAACACAAAAGTTCAAGTTTTTATTGATATTATTTGTCGCGCAGTATGTTTGTTCTCATTAGATGAGGATTATTATAATCATGTGCAATTTTGGAAACTTTAGGCCCTTGGAGGTCGTCTGACTCACAGAAATCATCTTCTTCCTCATCATCTTCACTATCCATTGGTTCGCAATCCTCAGAGTCCCCTTGACCAAGTCCACCTTGACTTCCAGGGTAGCTTACTGCTGATTGTAGACCCCTAGTAGCTGATGGTAAAAATCCACCCGTAATCATCGGATCTGATTGTATATTGTTACTCAATAATTTTGGAATCAAACCTGATTTTTTATGTAACGACAATGGTTTACAGTCAAGTTGACAGTTGTCTTTTGAGTCAAGAATGCTTGGATTAGAAGTTGTTGAATAATAACTGTTATTGTTGTTAGAATTCATCATTTCGAAGTATTGATGTGATGAACCCATTTGACGTCGACTATGGTGAACGGGATCTGTAGTTGTTTGACGAATTGTTTCGTCATTTAATTCCTTGATTTGTTGGCGTTCTTTCTTCAATTTCATTCTTCTATTCTGAAACCAAATTTTGATTTGTCGCTCAGTTAAACAGAGATTATGGGCTATTTCGATTCGTCTCCTCCGTGTTAAATAATGACTGTATTGAAACTCTTTTTCTAATTCTAAAGTTTGATACCGACTGTATGTTTGACGACCACGACGCCGCTGAACTGAGTTTGGTCCTGATAATGGAATTTAAAAAAATGAAATACAAAATTAAGTTTATAAATGCAATTTATTCAGCCAAAAATAAGGTTTAAAGACTGACAATTTATGCCCCAGTATTCAAAACTGGCTTGTAGTTACTTCTGAGACTTCTCGTAGTTGCATAATTGTTCAATTAAAATCTGATCTTTATTGTAAATGTACATTGTTTCTCACCTAAAATTAACTGTGATACATTATATCTTTTGATAAACAAAATACTACACATAAATTAGGTTTGGCTTCACTCAAACATTTATTTCAATTTCGTGCAGCATTTGAGAATCTGACAAGGTGAAAGAAACTCATCCCATTCAGAAAATGCTGTGCTGGTCACGTTTCTTTTCAATAAGGATATCATTAGTGAATGTTTAGTACAAATTGTTCATCTACTTAAATAATTTAAGTAGCATACATTTAAAATATAAAAATGTTGATGTCGATCCGGGCCGATCATTCATCAAGCCAGAGATGAGGTAATCTTTCATAATCTACAATTGTGACATTGACATGCTCAAAAATAGTCAGAGTTACGTTTTAGAATTTTTTTCAAGTAAATCCGAATTTAATAATGCTGTAGTGATCAGACAAAAATTCTTTACAAAAAATAATTTGGCTTTTATTTTAAACTGATTATCAAACTGATTTTTATAACATTGAGCTAATATCTAACTAGTTTTGATGATCAGAATTAACCTTCAATTTCTTTTGTAAAAAGGTATTATTTGGTTCGGAAATATATAGTTTAGTTTCTATGAAGAATATCTCAATGTCTTAAAAATATTTAAACAGTTTAAATCACGAACTGATTGAATTCGTTGCAAGGTCATGGATATGCATTTCTACAATAATGAAAAAGTCTGTCCATTGCTCCCAGGCTTCTAATGTTGATGCAACTAAGATTAGTTTTGTCATTTAGACCAAGGAAATTCTGTAATCTCCACAGATCCGTATATTAATAAAATTTATCGTCAATTCTACTGGTACTATCAGGTTTGCCGTCTCTAAACGACCCAATTCTTCTTTGGGATCGGAGAACCTTCTGAAATGTTATTCTTGTTACTGCATTTGTCGTCTTTTATCATATATCTGCCAAGAATTAATCTTCAAGAATAGTGGGCAAATGAAGTCATTTGGCCCAACTTGCTTCCGAAATATACGTAACCACTAATGGTATCAAAACTGGAAAATATGCTATTCAAGGTAAGTTTGTGTGAAGTCATTGGTTAAAACTTACTCATTCATCAATTCACGTTAAACCACAAAGTTTATGGGTAATTACTAATGCCGAAGATGTTCTTACATTTATCAACCATATGACAGAAGTGTTAGATGGTGATTACGCTATTCTATTATTTAGCGAAAAATAACAATCCCAAATGGGACGAAATGCATGTCCTGGATTGCACTGCTAACCAACATCCATCATTTCTTAAAAGTGACATTTGTTTAAAAGCGTTTATCATTTTATAATATGGAAAACAATATTAGAAGAAAGTATTGTCCTCGAAGCACCATCGGTTATATGGTTTGAATTTCAGCCACCATTTGAAAATAAAACCATTCATTTTTAGTTTTCACGGAAAATGTTACTGGTAATTTACATAAAAGGTTAGGTTTTATGACCGGGTAGTATATTTTATTTTGTAACGAGTGCCTATTAAATAAATATAAGTAGCATCGGTTATTCAATGAAAATATTCTGGGGTGTAATACGACTGGGGATAACTGCTACTATTTATGAAGAAAAATAAAATTTGCACGATTTAGGGAGAAAGACAACGACTATTAATTGGTGAATATACTATTCAACCGCCGAAAGCTTAATTAACTGGAATATTTAGAATGTGAAAGTGAATTTTTTCTGAATCAACATGATTATCTTGCTTACTATAAACTATAAAAGAAACGATTTTTCGGGTCTAGTTTATTGCATAGAAATTATATTTGGATTGGTTGCTGTAATTGAATCAAAGTGCTATGAGGAACCATGTTCAATTATAAAGAGTTTAGACTTAAACAGCTGAATTTTAATATTGTTCTTCTTGAAATAATTAAGTTGATCAGTACACTCAAATTTAAGTAAATAGCATAAAATGCTAACAAGTGTTTCATCAATTCTTTTCTACCAGAAATGCATGCTAATTTCATGTTGTACACAATAATGAAGCAAAATTACAGATTTGATTCATCAATTAAATCGGCATCAGGATTTATTTTAGAATCGGCCACATATATATATTCTTTAAGAAATTTCAGAAAGTAATCGATACTTCTAAGTTTTTCTGATCTAGTATAAGGTCAAAATCTCTACTTAATCAGAAAGGTTAACCAAATGGTGAAGAAATTTGGTTTGATATTTATCAAGTTATTTTGTTTATTTAATGCTAAATCTTTTAAATAACAAAAACCACTTCATTAGACATTCTACACACAATAGTGAATTCGAATTTACATTTTGGGTCAGTTTTCATTTGAAACTTCAAATAACTTCTCTCGAAACTTTTGTAAGAACTAACCTGATCAGTTCATCTATCTATCTGTTTATTTAACCAATACGCGGATTAATTGATTGTTAATTTCAATTTATTTCACATGTAACACTTGTAATATCAAAACACGTAAAATTTTAAAAAGTAATTTTTTTTTTCATTTGACGAATAGATCAAATTGCCTTTATGATTGTGAAACTTAAATTCCCCTGTCATTTATTTTTGTAACCATAACAACAGGATAGATATCAAAGACCAAAAATTATACTCCTATGTGTCATTTAATTACCTACACTTTAAACAACATATATAAATGTTATGTATGTGAGGAACACAAAAACTATGAGCCTTCCCCCTATAAATTTATGACAGTATAGTTTGAAAACAAAAAACGACAAAAGTGGTTGATGTGCATTTTATTTTGTTATTGTCTTACAAATGATTTTAGCTGATATTACTTAAATTTCATTTCGAACTTGAAAAAGGATTTTGGAAATACATGTTTACTTAAAGAAAATTTCATCTTATGGGTGTATACATTTCTTACCATCAATTTGTTAACATAAATGTGATTTTGCTTAAACCACTGTATTTTTAAATAATTCACTCATTAAAATAATTTCAATGTTTAGAATATCAATCTTGACAATCAGTTGAGAGTCATACTGCACAAAAATGATAGTAATTGAAATGTATTTATATTTTGTATTCTTTAACTTTCACAGTCTAGCGCATACATGAGTTCATGTACACCTATCTATTAGATGGTGGCTGGAGGTAGTCGACAGAAAACCCTGGAACCGGGTTTCGTGCTACTTGGCGCTCGTCAGCAAAGTGTGCCTGTAATTTTGAGGAAACTGGTGCTCCCCGGCGGATCCGATCCCGTGTCACCCAGCTTCACAGTCAAACACGTTACCACTGAGCTATCCGAGCCAGGGAGCACCAGTTCACTCAAGATTACAGATACAGCTTGCTGACGAGTGACAAGTAGCAAGAAACCCGGGTCCAGGGTTTCATGTCGACTACCTCCAACCACCATCTAATCTCAATATATAGTGCACGCAGTGTCGAGTCACCTAGACTGGTGGCCACATTACAACATGGTCGATAGCATTCGATCTGCACTAAATAAGGACTTGACACACATGACATTGATCACCACCCAGTGATCAATCACTTGTGAAACCTATCTTTCAGAAGCTGTAAATAAAATAAATTTTAACGCAACTCCTTACATGATAAAACTAATACAAGTTGTTTATCAAGTATAAATGAGCTTTCTCATAATTTCGATGAACATTCCCTACCTGTTAAAAAGTCACTAAGTAACGAATTATTGTCAGCTCAATCTAACTGAAATGAAAAAAACATGTAACAAATTTAAATAAGAACTTTCGTCTAAATTTGATCGAATAGTTTCACAGTATTTGAGCATTGAGTTTATGTGAGACATTAAAGAGGAAGAATGTATTTGTAAAATCTCAGCGAAAGAATTTGAAGTAAATCCAACGTTTCATCTGGCACTCTGATCAAGCTTTTTCAAGGAAATATAATCAAACATTAAAATTATCGATAAATTATTCGATCGCCAGACGAAACGTTGGATTTACTTTAAATTCATTCGCTGAGATTTTACAAATACATTCTTTCTCTTTAATGTAAGTAATTTGTAGTTATTTAATCATTAGAAATCTTTTTAATAATTCACTTTTGTAATCTGAAGGTTTTGTAACACATAATTTTTTTTTGTCTGGTTTTTTAAGTCAATAAGAGAAATGGACTAGTATTAGATAGGTGAACTTATGGATTCTTACTCATACCCTTAATTCATCGCTGACCTGATGAACTGAATTCTATTTCTCTAGGTATTTTGAGTGCTTACTACTTAGGAGTTCCTTATTAGGACGAAACAGTTACCCAATACTCTATTGTTTACTAGCTGTTTAGCTGATGTCAGTCTGTGATGTAAATAGTCGTCAAAAGAAGTACAGCTTGGGAAACCACAAAATGTAGTGTCATAATATTCTGTCATTAACTTGTCCAATAGTAATGTGCTAGGCTTAACTGATTACATTAAATCAATTATTTAGAAAATATCAACAGAAACTTTTATTTACATACTAAATTGCTACAAACGATTTATCCATCACTTGTATTGTTTTACTTGAATCTTCCCATTGATGTTTTTGGGCTGAAATTGATCAGTCTCTTACTGGCATATGTGCATACTGTGCGTATGCCTCGATATTGTCTTAATTTACAAGCAATTTATCCATCATTACAGATAACCATATTTTCGAGAGGATTATGGTTTAGTTTAAAGCTCGGCTTTTGTTACGAATTTTTGATATTTATTGATTTAAGTTTTTTGTTTAAAAAAATGACATTTGATTCTGCTTAATTCTAATCGGCTAATACAAAACTAGTATTTTTCCCTTAGAAACCGTTACTTATGATTCTTTGTATATCATACCTATTTATGTGAA